AGTACAATGAGATTAATATATATAGACAAACATAATTAGGGTTATCTCCTAATCAAGGAAACTAGGGTAGAGACTAGGGCCGGCTCCTTTTGGGCTAGGGCCRRCTCCTTTTGGGCTAGGGCCGGCTCCTTACTTTATGCCTCCTCCCTTTTGTCTAACTTAGTAGGCCGAAGCCTACATTCCAACAAGCTGAAGTTATCTAAGTCATTCATCACAAATATTGTGCGGCTTATAGGAGAATAGCTAAGATACTGTTGATTTTGATTAGGCAAGAAAAGAGAACTCATGTAATAGACAGCTGTGATTAGTATATTGAGTGGTTAGAGATGTGCACTCCCAGAAATAGAGAGATCGGCTACAATATACGACTCCTGACTGAAAAGAGTGAGAAAGGATTAAGATGAAGAATTTAATCTGAGCAATGCCAGACAATCAATATAAAAGACTTGGAGGTGCTAGAGGGTAGCTTAACGTACGACCCAAGACCAGTAAAATGCTAAGCTAAATAAGGGAATACAAGTATAAAGCATGGGGCTCACAAAAACCTGAAGAACAGGCAACCCTATGTAATACTCTCCGAAAAAGTAGTCAGGGTACATGTGCCATAGCAAGGTGAAGTCCTGCTCTAGCACATTGTTCTATGCATAGCTCAATAAAAGACATTGGTTTGGGCCATCAAGACATAGTCTATGGCATCACCATAGCACACCGGCGCTTCCATTCAACAAACTTGACCGCCAAACATTCCAACTTTCAGTTATTATTCTTTCAGATTTTACCTCCTGAATGTTACTTCCTTCTGACTTCAATTTCTCACGCCATATGATAGAGTTGAGTACAGATCAATTGCTACAAGACCAAATCTTAGATTAAATAATTCCAGGAAACTCTAAACGCTCTGAACGCAATGCCCATCGAGTGGGAGAATTAGATGAAGATGATGTGGGAGGTCACGTAAAAAATCACTTATCCATCATAAAGTAGCTCATCACAAGAATTTCAACTAATTAAGCAGGATTTTATATAGTTACAAGGAGGAGAAGTGAGGTGGAGGAGGTGAAGTGGATTTGTTAGTCCCAGGAACAATGAAAATAGCAGATTTGTTGGGAGGGCAAGAAGTTGTAATCTGGTTTTCTCGCAATTCTATATCGATTACGTTAGTACACAGGTTGGAATCACTAGTAAGGGACGAAGATGTACTACATATTGATGAGGAAAGGCTGGTTAGGCGACCCCCATCGAGAACAACCACCACCAGTCCACCATTACAGTAGTTGATGCTACGAAAGTAGAAAATATGTTGAGGCCTTGAGGGTGAAAGGAGAAGTTTGAGTACAAGAGTTTGGCCAGAAAGCTTGACGTACAAGTAGAATTCTCAATGCAGAACATGAGAGGCAGCAAAAAGCATATCAGGTTGAGGTTGACAAAATAGGGCGGGAAGCAAAGAAGCAAATATCTGAAGCTGAAAAAAGTTATGCAGATACTTCGTAGAAGGTGAGACTAAAATATCAAAGGGACCATGAGGACTCCAAGATGATTGAAGCACAATTGGCAGTAAATCAAGAAAAGCAGAGAGATAGAAAAGTCAAAGTAGGATTTAAAAGTAAAAGCCGTCATAAGAAACCTGATGGGAAGACTCAAGCTGTGTCGGCTGGTGCAAAACTTATTGAAGCGCAATTGGCAGTAAATCAAGAAAAGCAGGGAGATGGAAGAGTCAAAGTAGGATTTGAAGATGAAAGCCTTCGTAAAAACTGAATGGAAAGACTCAAGCTGTGACAGTTAGTGCAGAAATTTTTTTAAGTATATAATCTTTATATACCTATAACCGCAATTGAACTCACACACCCTCCTTTTGGTGAGGTTTGAACCCCTGACCTCCTGGGAGGCTGAGCTCTACCAGCAACCCAGATACCACTAATGCAGAACTTATCAAATAAGAAGTTGCTACAAGTAGTGCAATGGTAAAGATATGGCTGACAGAAGGCTGCTGAAGGAGGCTGAAATACTCGCAGAAGGCTGCTGAAGAAGAAGTCAGTAATCTCCGAAATCAAGTAGTGCAATGGAAAAGAGCGGAGGCAGCAGGGAGAGCTGAAATCTTAAAGTTTCACAAGATGCTGGAAGATGAGGTACGTCAGAGAGAAGCTTGAAGAAGAAATATCCATGTTACAGAATCACTTATTGCAAATAAGTTTTGGCGTTGATTAGACAAGAAAACAACTGAAGAGTGGTCAAAGTATAGACATGACAGAAGGGGAGCAGGCGAAAGGCTCTGTGGCAAAACTCTTTGAGCAACTTGGACTACAGAAGCTTCTATCCATGGTAAAAGCAGAAGAGCCTGAAGTGCAAATGTATGCTGTACAAGCTATTGCAAATTTGGCAGCTGAAGCAACCAATCAGGAAAAGAGTGTACGAGATGGTGGCCTTACATCCTTGCTAGCTCTTCTTAGGAGCTCTGAAGATGAGAATATCCAGAGTTTGCAAACCTTGCATTGAACGAACTCAAGCAGAAGCTTATAATGGCTCAAAGAGTTATAAGTTTGCTAGCAAGGACGACAGAAAATGCGAAAGGTCCTCAAACTCTTCGAATGGTGGCCGGAGCTGTCGCTAACCTTTGTGGCAAACTGAAGTGGTATTAAAGAATTGTTAGGATCAATCAGATGCAGACATCCAGATGTTCTTGCTCAAGTAATTGCCAACTTTGCAAAATGTGAGTTGAAAGCATACGCACAAGGAATAAAAACAGAAACTCTCTTCCGATTGAGAACAGGGCATTTTTGTGGATCGTGGAAATGCCAACAATGAAGCATCACCAATCAAGCGTCATATTGAGCTTGCTCATCAACACATGGCACAACATGAAGGAAATGCTGAAGACATGATTTCCAGGGGGGGCTTTATGGAAACTTGTTCGAAGTTCAAGAGATTGCTCAAGAAATCACATCAGAATGTTTGCATGTCGGTCATTTTCTCCAATTCCTAATTCCAGGTAGATGTAAGGCGTTTGAACTTTGAACCGAAATTTTTATTATCACCTTGAGGACAAGGTGAGAGTTGGGGCGGATATTCTTACATCCTGGATAGGTTGGTCAAACTGGGTAGTGTCAGTCAAAATAGGTGGCCAGGTGTGGAAGTTCATAAGTCAAGAAGAGTGGGTTGCAATAGAAAAATACAAAGCCCTTAGTGCACTGGTACAGGCGGGTAAAGTGTTGGAACTTACTGTAATCACTCCTTGTCATTTCCAAATCTATATTAAACTCTCTGTGTATTAGTCAATCAATCGAGGGTACATCAGGTTCTAATCTATTGGTTAGCCAGTCCTGTTCATTTGGTTTATTCTTTCAAAACATCAGATACTAAGGTTTGGTTCCAAAAAAACATCTCAGATACTTTGTTCGATATCAAGCAGCTAGCAATCAGCAGTTTTTACCTATCTTTGGTCTAGTTTTATTTTATTTGATTTAGAAGCAGCGACTATTTGAAGATATGCAGCTCAATATTGCATCCATCACATGTACTCCTTGGGCTGATGCAAGTCTTTAGAATTAGCCTGTAGTAATAATAGCATTGGCCTCTCTGGAAAGCTCCCCGCACCATAAATTCTAAAAGCGATTAAAAAATTACCTCCAGGAAAGGATTCCAATGTTGGCAATTCTTCAAATCAAGTCCTGTGAGGTCTTTGGCATACCTACACAGTATAAATTTATTAACAGATAACAAGAGAATCCGTAAGGATAAATTATCATGCAAACACAAACCTTAGAGCCGTCTGAACCAGAGTGGATCTGTCAACTGAAGGATCATTGCCATCAACAGTTTCCCACAAGCCTCCAATTGCCATTAAAGCATTCCCATTCTTAAGACAAGCAAACCTAAGCATATTGCAAAAATGGGGAATGCGATCCTCATAATCTCTTTCAGATGATAGCTCCTCCAAAGCATTACGGCTAAGCCCACTCATCAATATCACCTGAACCAAATAAACAAAAGAAATTGCATATAAAACAACATTGTGCATGCATATGATCCGTGAACGAAGTAAGCAACAAGCATTTTCTCCTTCAATAACAGAAAAGTACCAAATGAAGTAGATGATCGTGACAATACGTTAAAAACTAGTGAACTCCAGTTAAAGTATTAAAATGCAGAACGGACTTGAATCAAAAGAAGAGCTCCTAACGCATACACCAAACAGAAAATGCACCCACAATGAGAGCACTTCCAATTTTTTCACTAAATAAATCAAGATATTCAATAATCTAAACACTGGGAGGATATGTGTATAGCGAATGAGGAGAAGACAAAATAACTTGAACACACTTGATGACAAAGCAAATACTCCCTCCATTCCTGAAGCATATATTGACCTAACATTATCAGCCGTATTGAACAAAAACTGGATTCCTAAACGACATCTCTTATCGTATATTTATTTTTTTATTTCTGACTAAAATATTCTGATCTCAGAAATATTATCAGTTGTTTTGGTATAGAAAGAATGAAAGATCAACTAAACGAATTAAACTATCTAAATGCAAAATAATAAATGGTATGAATAATAAGTTTCTAACAATGTCGCTAAAATAATAAATGGTATGCAAAACAATATTCCAAAAAGTCGTCCCATATAAATTTCTCTTTGCGATAATCGCAGACCCCCCCCCCCCAAAGACAGAAAAGCATACATGATCAGAGATCCCCACAAGTTGCATATACCCTCAATAAGCCCCAAGGGTTTAGGTGGTAAGGTTTGATTTTGAATCCGCTGTAACAGGAGAGTACCAATAACACAGAGAGGAAGAGAGCTACGTCAATATAATTTCGTGACACAGCAAAGGTCTTCCAAGAATTTAATAGTGTCTCATGGGAAAAAAAAAAACAACAGCAATGTAAGTGGTACAAGAACTATAAATTTAAATAACAAAGTCAACTTATCTACAGCTAATTAGAAATAGAAATACTACAAGTGCTCCTCTTTGTATTCTAGTTATGAAGAAATGAAAGAAATGTAATACATCAACTGATACAGAAAGTATGAACATATAAACAAAACAAACCAATATATGGTAGAATCCGGAACAACCTAAGAAGAGAATCCAAAAACTAAGTTCATGAAACAACTAGATTGCTGATAGTTGATCCAATCAACAATCAGATATTCCTAACTGGCGGAGTGGGGTGTTGGCTAAAGATAACAGATGGTGAGGCCTCTGTATTACAGCCTTTTTTGGATCAGTTGTAGCTATAAATAGATGGTGTTGTATGGCTTCTAATGAGGACAATATCTTGTAATTTTTCTTTGTAACTTTGAGAGAGTTCTGTGAAGTGTGAACTGAGAGGAGGAACTTTGTATTTCAGAAGAGAAAGAAAAGAAAGGAAAAACAACGGCTGCCATGGAGTTGAGTGGAGATTGAATGAATCTCCATTTTGAACCAAGTAAAATTTTGCCATTGTGGTTCAGTTGATTAGCATCTACTTCATAGCAATCAATCGATCATCAGTTACGCATTCAGTCAAAATTCGAATAGTTCCAGTTTCTGCAGTGAATTTGAATATAATATCCCCATACATCTGATCAGGGTGATGTATAAATCAATTGTACGCGCAAAGTACGTTTAGCTGTCAGCAAAAACTCTTAAAAGGCCTGCAATCCAGAAAGCAGGCAGGCCCATATGAAGATCTGAGTTGGCCCATCAAAGGATATTCACACCGTCATGCAGTAACCAGTTGCTTCTTCAGCAACAATCGGTACTGACACACAACAAAAAAGGTCTCCAGTAGCCATCATCAAGATCCTTTCAAGTTTTCTACAGTTCTCTTTGGTTACCAACACTTCAATGTTTTGTTCTCTCTAAGTGGTTTAAGTTGGGCAAGTTTGTTGCAAATCATATAGCAGATACAATATTCACATCAAGATCTTTTTCAGCAGTTTCCATTAGTTACCAATTACGTTTCAGTGTTTTGTTCTTTTTAGGTAAGTCAGGAAAGCTTGTTACCACCATCATGCAAACACAAGTGTATTTAGTTTTATAAATTAATTCACGTCATAAATTGCTCAGTGAAAATTTCTACCTTTGCATTCCACCGTGTACTTCCATGCTCTGATTTTACAGGGTCATCAACCATTTTTGCAGTGGATGCCTCTTTTTGTTGAGTTTCCTTATCATCTTGAACAAAATCATGTTCGAAACTGTTTTAACAGTAAAAACAATTTGTTAATTTTTGCTCCTGCAATGTTTATTCTTGGACGTATGCACAATAAAAGACATCCAAACTGATACACCATCAGTCAAATAATGGAATGCAAACACGACTTTCCACTAGTCAAATAATGGAATGCAAACTGATGTAAGCAGCCTTTACCAGCCCGGGACATAAATAGTAAAAGTACAAAAAGGGTTGCAAGTAGAGAAAGTAAGTACAGTAGAAAAACCAAAGGATCATTGACCCAGCAGTACCTGGTAATCCCACCTTCCTGGAGATCAAGGGTTCAAGTCTCATCAAAGGCAAGAAGTGTGAGTGAGTTTAATTTGCCGTATATAAATATTATATACTTCAAAAAGAAGTACAGTAGGCCATATAAAAGGTTAAAGCAAGTCAACACAGCGAAAGCATAGGAGAGAGTACATAAAACTAAACAAAGTAAAACAACACAAAAACCGAAAGATAGGTAAGTAAACATAGAAGGCCCACTCCTAGTGAACCCTCGGCAATTGCACTCCTAATGCCGACCACAATTCTAAACTGATGAGTGTTATTGCAACTAACAAGATGAAATATAAAGAAATTTTCTAGCCCAAAATGGTTGCCATATGCATGTAGGGTAGCATCTTTGCTTTAGATAAATCCATGTGCAAGAAAAGAATACAAATTATTTTTGACATCCTACGAAGAACAAGTGTCATTTACCTCTTTAGGGAGGGAGTATATCATAAAAAGAATAATGAAAACCAATCCAACCCCTAAGCATTTCATCTTTATTTTAGGGTCCTTTAAGGGTAAATGATTTCCTATGGAAAACACATGTTTCATAAACCATGTATCTGGAAAAAGAAGCTAGCTTATGAAATGGCTCAAGAGTCAAAAGATTGTGACACTACAGGAAGAAAGAAAGAAAAACCATACCTGACAGGGACATTCAATGGAATTTTAAGATTCTCCCTTGACCAATTAACAATCACCTGCAGCAAGTTAGCACTCATGTTAACATCAAATATGGAGAAGAAAAGCAGTTGATGCAAAAGCTTAAATACCTTTGAACATTCTGGAGAAGTAAATAGCCTAGGATACCGCTTATCAATAGACAAATAGTCTCTCTCAACATCTACTAAACTGGATGAATAGACCTGAAAAGATTGGCCCTTGAAACAATCAAAACTATAAGCAAGTGACAGAAAGCAAACATTCAAGTGTAGTATGTATCTTATCTTCTTGCTTTGAAAGCATTCTCTAATTAGGCGTTAGCCACATACGTCTCAAAAAAATTCAATTGATGTGTAGGTCTCATTAGAGCTCACCTCTCAATCAAGGAGGACAAACACAAAGATGAAGATAATTCAGAATGCAATTGCCATCTTCAACAAATTTTAACCCAAACCACCTTAGATCACCGAAGTGCTATGATCTACCCATAAGGGTTCTACAAGATTCATAGAAGGCGAGATATGTAAATGCTAGAAGGGTTCGATGGCAGATGAGCAACAAAAGAATGCCAAGAAGTGCATCTTTCTATCAAGAGAGAAAAAAGACGAATGAAGTGATTTGACTACAGCAATGTAACAGGAATGAGTACAAAAGAGACCGTACTCTTCGGTTCAAATTCAAAGAGTAGCAGAACAGCAAACAGGATAGTTGCTACATAGACACCCACAACCCAAGAAGAAAAAAGGAAACTAGGCAACGGACGAGGAGCTCATAATCATTCAATGACATATCTCTTATGTGCCTTTTTACCTTGCAGACATATTCTCTTCGTTTTTCTTTAACAGGAGAACGACGCCTTCAGCATAACAGAACACAACGTTAGTCATTTAGACTGCAAAAGACGGTATCAACTATGCAAACAGAACTTTAGCAGGCGCAAATTAAGCAACAAAATCCACCTATGCGAAGCTTCAATACGTGGTGACTCCCGTCGAAATGATCTCTCGGCCTTTGTTGATGACGAACCACCTCGGTCCCTAGAGATTCTGGGTGGAGTTCGTTCACGCCTAATTTCAGTAACACGTTTGGACTCCCTCTCTCTCTTCTTTCCACGGCGCTCCAAGATAAGTTCCCGTTCCCGTTCCCGTTCCCTTTTACGTACTCTTTCTCGTTCGCGCTCACGTTCGTGTTCGCGTTCACGTTCACGTTCTTTCTCTCTCTCCCGCAAAAGCTCCCTACGACGTTCTTCATCTCTTCGCTCAAGTTCCCGAGCATGTCCCCTATCATCTTTACGATCATCAAGCCTTGCATAACCAGCACGTGCCAAAATACCACCTGGATAATCTGGCTCAAGGGGTGTAGTATGAAGACCCTTTCCTGAAGCATAGTCCCTGCCAGGTGGTAGGCTTACTCCATAACCAGAATTTGCAGAGCTAGGAGGATACAAAAGATCATCCACATCTCTTCGTGGAGCTGCCCCTAGTATTGATGGAGCATGTTGGGAACGATGTGACAGACCACTCATCATTGACAAAGTGTTAGGATCATGATCCATTCTCCCACTATAAGGCAAAAATTCTTGACCAGCATGACGAACCGTAGCCGTCCTTGCTGCTATATAATCCGCTTGTCTGCCAGAAACGTTTTGCTGCTTAGTGCTTTAAGACATCAAATTATGAACATTTTTATCTTCAATAGTTTCGTCTTAGAAAGTGATTGTCATGTGACTGAGTAAAGTATGCCATCAGCATCAGTGCATCTCTTGCTCCTCATGCATTGGTAAGCACAACATAAGAGGGACATAGATGGACATATAACTTGAATAAGAAAATACATGACCATGGTATGAAGTTTCCGGAAGAAAAAAGTAAACAAGAAACAATATGGATAAACTAAAGGACATTAATCCATATGCATCATATGAAGTAGGTTACCTAGAACTCCCTTCAATAGAAGAAGATTGGAGTGTATGAGCCTGTAACAATTCCTTTCGCAGTGCTGATGCAGCATCCAAGCGATCATATATGTCCGGCTGTTCCAGAAACAATTAGACATGAAATATATGTCACAACAATCCATAAATCAAGCTTCCATATACCAGTAAAAGAAGCAAATTGATGTACAGTTTAAAACAAATAATAACCACTGGTAGAAGTAAAAAAGAATGATAAAAACCTGATGTTGGTGATGACCAAAAGCAACTGAATCACTAAACCTAGCAGTTGGCTCATTTTGCGAATCTCGGACAGAATAAACACTTGGCCTTTCCACATACTGGCGTCTATCCCCTGGTGGATAATCAGAAAGCTTATCAGTGAACATTTGCTCCCCTTTTTGACCATACTTCTTGTTAAGCACAGAGTAGTCACCAGATGCAAATTTTGGTGACTCTTGCATGGATGAACCATAAGCACTACGACCTTCCAAAGCAGATGATCCAGATCCTTTGGCACTTGCACCAGTAGCCTGCAGAAGTAACAATAGAGTTTAGATGCTACCCGATGCAATTACTATGTTGCAGAACATAACACAAAAATTAAGTTTAATGAAACAGAGACAACATCTTAAAATAGATCAATCAGAATCTTCATCATCTAAAACCAGGTAATATATGAAATTTTATTTTTACACTAAATCATATGTTCACTGACCTGTAGAGCACTGCTGAGCGACACTGAACCATACATAGAAGTATACTGACCACCATAATGAGCTCCAGCAGATGGATGACCACCTAACATGGCAGAATGCCGTGAAGACATGGACATCTGAGAGTCCCCCCCATCAGGCCCCAACTTCACAGAAATAAAGTAAGAAGTCGGAAATATAAGTCAAGTTAATAGAAAAAGTCATCATGAATGAAAGCAACATGAATCAGAAAGTGGACTAACTCATTGCTCAAAAAATTTGAATCAAACTTAAGAAACATTGATGTGTTCTCTTTAAATTATTAATCATAATAATATTTCTTATAGCTTATAAGCGCCATGGTTTTCCTCAAAATTTCACACTTCCAAAACCTAGATGTTTGATTTTTGACATCAAACATCAAAGTTGATATTGGATTACCAAAATTATATAGGAAAGGGTGAAGACAACCATGCCACCCCAGATTAATTGAGCATAGTCCTTTTGGTTTTGTCTCAAAACAAATGAGCTTTTTAGTGTTTCAGAGTCTTTAAGCCAGAGTAAGATCCTGATTTTATAGTATTTCCTTTCTTATATGTTTACTACAAACACACTACAGTTCCATTTTTTCTTGATAAATTAATTCTCATTGTTTTAGTAATGAAATGAGTGCCATTCAAGATTCTTGTTTAAAAAATTCATACAATCTCCATAATTTTTATGAAATCCAGTTGAAGGTATCTTTTAAGGTGTTCCATGACAATATGATACTAAATCTATGTAGACGATATATCAGGAGCTTGATGTTATTTACACCTCATGTGATTGATTTTACATTTCAAGCAAAAAAAGGCTTTTTTGTTTTGTGATGGGGAGAGCATCACCAATACTAGAAAGAGATATTTGTAAAAGTTGATTCACGAGAAAAACCAATGGTATTTGTACTTGAAAAGTGTCTTTTCATTAAAAATGAGGATCTAAAAATTTTGCACCTTATAAACGAAGAAAATACCTGTCTGACTACAAAACTGACAAAAGTATTCGTTCTTGAAAGAACGCAGATGGCACTTTCCATAATGCCACTAAGTCATGTTTTTTCTACAATAGCATAACACATGTAAGACAAATGTTGACCCATCCTTCACATACTCTATCCAAAGTAAATTGTCTAACATTCAATTAAAAAACGAAATAGAACAAATACAAAAGCTTTCTGATATAATAATATATTATAGACTAGATTACAAATTTCGTCTTTGTGGTTTCATCTCGGTTACAAAGAAGGTCCCTTAACCCTAAAAACATGACTAAAGTCTCGTGGTTCCATTTTCGTAATGGATCAGATCCCTTGCCCTAACTACCATTAAGAAACTCTGTTAATTCATGCGTACTTTGGTCATTTTATAGTTTCTTCCATTATCTCTTAAAATATAAAAAATATAATAGAATTTATATACTTTACAAAATCTTATATATATATATACACACACACAAACATATATTGAAGGTTGCCCAACTCCGCCTGCCTCTCCCGTCTCCATCAACCTCCTCGTACACGGTAAAACTCCCTTTGAAAGGCCCGCCGCACATAATGGCCCTCTCTCTCCATTTCACTTTCTTCTTTAACCATAACCAATTCATTAACCCAAATTGAACCAACCCCATTTTGATCAATATTTTCAGGTGAATTTAACCTAAAAGGCAAAGGTTGCAGCCTGCAGGTGGAGGCTGCCGGAGATGGTGATGGGGGTGGGGGAGGCGGAGATGGTGAAAGAGGTGGGGGTGACTGTCAATTGGATTCATCAACAGGTAGAAGATCGTGCTTGGATTTGGTGGTGTAGGGTGGATCTCTAGGCTACTGTGGTTGTGTTCCCTAACCCGTAAGACCAGATCCGAAGCACCAACTTCAAGTTAAGCAAATTCAATTAATACATAGAAGGGGGAGTGTGGTGTTTTGTTGTTGCAGAAAAGTGGGGACGCCTGGAGTTGTAGATTCATCATCAGGTTTATTCAAACCTTATTTATGAATTAACAGGTTGGTTTGAAGTGCCACAATCCATTAAGCAGACCAAATATTCAAGTCTGGATCAAACATTGTGTAGACCAACAGGATCCAACCTCCTCTCTCTCTCACTTAACCTCGATCTTCACATATCTCGATCGTGAGCCTGGATTTTGACACCATCCTTGATTCAGCCTCAGGAAAAGGGGTTGCGCAAGCGCAAAAGTGGCTTGAGTTGGAAATATATGGTCGGAGGTGTCGTCAAAGTTGGTCCGGGAAAGAAGAAGAGATATGGGGGTGGGGAAAGGGGTGAATTATTGAAAATATTAAACCAGATTTAATGAGAAACTGGAAAAAAAAATGTAAAAAGACTAAAATACCCCAGATTTAACGAAGTTCTTTAACGGTGGTTAGAGCAAAGGACCTAATACATAATGAAAATGAAACCACGAGAACCTCAGTCATGAATTTTAGTGTTGAGGGACGAAATTTGTAATTTACTCTACATTATATATAGTAAAATATTTAAAAAATTAATCAGAAAATTGAAGACACAAAACTATCAAATGTAATATTATAATATATATTTATAGTAAAACAAATACAGAAGTTATGAAAATATAATAATATATTATGTATTTCTAATACACATACAAAAGATTAATCAAAATATTAGAAAACACTTGATCGCATTAGAGAGCGAGGAGATGGGTTGTTGAAAGAGATAAAATCCTAGAAAAGGTGTTATCCTATTTTTCACTTGAGAATAGATGTGTGGCCTAGGCCTCTACAGCGCCTCCCATCTCACCGACCACAAAGGTGTATGTCTCCTCTTAGGCAGGAGAGGCGTTGTCTCAAGTACGACTTTGAGCCGCCTCGCCTCAAAGGGTACGCCTCTGCCGTTTTTTAGAACCATGATTCTTGCTACATGTTTGTTCACAGATTCACACTCTTGCAAAAGCTTGGGGTTCACATAAACAACCGCTCTACTATTTGGGGGTAGAGGTTAGGTCCTCATGCATCTCACCCCTCCTAGACCTTAATTTTAAGTGTGCTTTACAGGGTCTGTCTGGTTTGGTTTTCATTTATATGACTTTAAATTGTTCAATGTCATTGAAGAGAGTTTGGTTGGGGGTATCAGAAGGCAGAGAATGGGAATGATAATCATTGACAATGTTTGGTTGAGATAAGAAAGAAGAATGGAATTATTAATGGTGTTTGGTTCTAAATACGCAATCAATAGTTATATCATTTAGAGAAAAAACCATTCCTCCCCAATTTGAGGGGAATAGAAAACTTGACCCTTTAAGTTTCACAGCATCACCCCTCTCTCTCCTTCGTCAAATACTCCATCGCAGCAAACAGATTGTCTCTTCTCCAGGCCTCTCAACCTGGTGCAAAAAATGGGTTTTTATGTTGTCTTGAAGACCGATGACCACCATTACCAATCCTCAAGTGCACCGTCAGGAGTAAACACAGTGACAGCTAGCAGACGAGACAAAATCAACCAACGACGTGGATTGAACAAATCGATAATGGTACAACTGCATCAATATACAAGCTGCAGCGCCTGTAATTTTAAGTTCAAAAACGGGGGAGGAGCAAGGGAAGCAGCTCTAATTGAAGTTCAAAAACGGGGGAGACCATTACAGCTGGCAACTACTCATCCTCCTTCCGACATTTCTCCTTAGATGCCTGCTGTTTTTCCCAGAATGAATGGAAACCCTCTCTTTTTTCTCTCTGTTTGACGAGTTGAATATTTTTTCATCTCCAAACAACAACAATGCAAAGAAACCTATAACAACATAGAGCAATGCAACAAAAATACCCATTATTATCCCCCTTCATTTTCATTCTCAATCCTTAAAACGAACCAAACGCCCCTTGAGAAATTGTACAAAAACATACATGCATATATATAATTATACATATGATATACAGACTTGTTGCCTTACGCCACACCTTGAAAACATCATGGCCTCGTCGCCGCTCCCAAGGCTTGAGGTTTGACCTTGCTGCCACGCCACACCACTCCCTTATGCCATTTAGAACCTTGGTAGTAAGACACTAGTATAAAAGAATTGCCTATCGAGCTTTTCTGTAATCGCATCCGTCACAATGGATTGTGATATGAGAAGGATTGCAAAATAATGGCAAATAGCAGGCTCGTCAAAAAATTTATTTAGCTTTAGTATAGTGTTAGGCTCGTTTCCCAATTGTTAGTAGGATAATTTTTGGTATTTATTTCTTATTTTTAGAGTAAGTAGTAGCTCATATTATACATACATACATTTGTATTTATATATAGGTAGTACGTAATTCTGAAGGTTAATTGTTTCGAACATGCAGTTCAGTTCTTTTTCTTTCATAGTGTGAAACAATCTCCTTAGGTGAGATGCCTTTGATTATCTTGGGTGCAACTCTCAAGAGATCAAAGTGCTTCTCTGGCCTTATTGTTTTACTATTCTTTTTTTTGACTTTTTCTGCTCACAAATAAGTCTCGCCTCGGTTTGCTCAAATCCCAAAAGACCCTAATCCAAGCCATCACAAGAAAAATAGCCAAATAAACCATCTTGCATCAACCGCCATTGCCCATGTTTGTGTATAGACTAGCCCAAGATTGGCTATCAAATGGTTGAAAGTTTGAGTATCTTCTTTTATTGTGTGAAACAATCACTTAAGGTGAGATGCCTTTTATTGTCTTGGGTATGATACTCAAGCGACTGAAGAGCTAGAAGCCTGGTTCTTCTTTTATTTTCCTAATCCTTTTTCTTCACCCAAATCTGTACTGCATCAGCATACTATACATATTGCAACACAAATTATTGCACACAAATGACAGACGTAAAATAGAAACCTTACATTTTGACCAAAAGCAGATTGACCAGAGTAAGATTGCTGCTGTTGCTGTTGCTGTTGCTGTTGCCCCTGCCCATACGCGTTATTCCCTCTTGGATGGTACATGCTTCTCTACACAAACCAGAAATCCAGAGAAAAACCCACACAAATTAAACATGTCCAGATTTAATTTCACGAGAGACATTCATTCTGATAATTATATAGTTATATCATCGCCTTGACGATGACTGATGATTTTGTTTGTATGGATAAATTAAGGGTATGTTTCGGAACTCCAATTCACTGATTTGCAATTAGAATCGGAGAAAGAAAGCGTTTGGAATTCATATTCCAATCACGAACACCAAATTTCATGCTTCAAAACACTACCTAATAAATTATAACGATGTGCAGCAGGAATTCCTTTACAAATTGTAAACGCCAAGGACGGCGAAGACGTTGTCCGTTGCCGACCAGAGCAATTGATGGAAGGAGGTGAGTTGAGAAATCGCTCCGTTTGTTGTTGTGTGTTCCGGAAAGACGATGACTTACTTCAGAGAAGCCTTTGTAGCCCTAATCAAGGTTGGTAAATGGCAACAATGATCCCTGAACTATACAACAATATTCACTATTAGTTCCTTGAAAAATATAAATTGCATTATTGCCACCTTTCCAAATAAATCTTTATCTAATCATCAAAAATTATAAAAATAACGCAAGTTCTTGAAACCTTTTTTATTTTACGAAGGAAAAGAAAGGAAATCGAGGGAAAGAAAAAAAAAAGTTAAAAAAAACATGTTTTTGAAACTTTTTTAACAGAGAAATAAAGATAAAGGGTTAGAAAATAATGATAAGTTTTCTTTTAAAACTTTCCTTTTAAACGTGAAAAAATGGAAGAAAATAAATTAAAACTCTTTAAAAAAAATACAAAATTACTCAATCTTTCATATTAAATAATACTATAAGGGTACAGACATGAATCTGGTATATGGGTGAATCTAATTTGTACTATTTTATGAAAATTTTAAATGTTTTTGTGTTTTGTTATGACTTGTCAGTTGATGGTGGTCAACGGTGAAGGAGTGGTGGCATGTGATGAATGTTTTTGGTTGAATAATAAGGAAATGGAAAGGAGGCTAAAAAGACCAAAATGTCTCACACGAGGGACACGACTAACTTAACAGACCCTTGACCAACAACATCAAGAGGAAGGACTGCTTTGGATTTTGAAACACAAAAGGTGGACCAACTGTGTTTTATCAGTTTTAGGGACCAAACCCATTAGGATAAAAGGACCACAAATATAATTCACTCAAATTAAAACAATGCTGTAAGTTAATTTTGACAACTAGACCTTGTACTTGATATTGGTTTTCATTTTGGGTGGTACTGAATTAAAAAGTATGCCCGTCATTTCTTATTTTAGCAAGTGTTAACGCCGTTTTGACAAAATTTGGTGTAAATGAACCTGATAGGTGTTATTTTGATGTTTTTGTGAGTGATGTGTCTGATAAAATATTTAGATAGCGTAGTTGTTTCCATTTTTCTTATTTTTACGAAGAAAATTTATACATGAATGGGACTTTAAATATGAGATAAATTCTACATGACTTGTGGAGCACTGCTTGTTTGGTTGCAAGCATGCCACGAACAGAAGGAAACACGTCTTAATTTGTTGGAACATCGATTGCAGTTTTTACCTATATCCATTCACGAGTTGCTAGTCTTTGATGGAGGAAGACAGATCTCAGATTCATCAAAGGTGATCTTGCAAGCGGTAATTTGGATTGTGTCTTACTTTTGTTGGAGATTTAGAAACTCTCGGGTCTTTAAAGGGGTCAATTCAAGCTTTGATCTATTGGATGACATCCAATTCCAGTTTTTCGATTGAATTTCGTCGAGGTGCAATTCTTTATCAATGTTGGGTTTCTTAGTTCTGTACCCTTGTGGCGGTCGGTTGAGTGCTCTTCTTATGCCTTTGGTTTTCATTTATTGTTGGTTTCTGTTTGTTTCTAGTCCTCTTTTGTTTCGAATTCCTAGCGGGTCTCGGGACATTTATCTATTTCTCACAAATCCCTTCGATGCCTTTTTATCCTCCCTTTTTAATAAAATTTGCATTTAAAAAAAAAACTTAATGAAGAAAGGAAAAAGGTAATAAAAAATGTTGTGTTGTCAACGCTAACCGATAGTGCGTAAGCTGAATACGTTAAATTTTATTTGTATCCCTTAATTTAAATTGTCTTGTAAAATATTTAGGTCAAACTCTTAAATTTCAAATAGTATATCATTTATAAACATTGAATATTGGGCTTCATCTTAGGTTTCAATCGATAATGATGGTTTGTGCACCATTAGATCTGCTATCATAGTATGTATATATATATATATATATATATATAATATTTAATCATGTTGTTATTATAATTCGTTTTGTATCATTGTTGCTATAAAAGGGAGAGGATACAGTAACATGTCAAAATTTGAGTTTTAACGGTTAACAATGATTAAAACAGAAACCTCTAACCATAAATCGTAGAAAATGAGAAATGTTTTCTTGGTGTTTCATATTGTATATTGTAATTGTAAGTTTTTTTATTTATACTAGAAGAGTACTCGCGCAATGCAACGAAACACATATCGATTTTAATGTTCTATTTTATTATTTGTCTATGTCGATATTATAATACGATTTTATGTGTTTTTAAGAAATAAATAATGATTTTATTTTTGAATAAAATATAAATTTGAAGATATCATAAAAATAAAAAAATCAATGTTATTCTATACTATATTATAAAGCATTTGGCTAAAACTCTTAAAAACTCTTAAACTCTTAAAACTCTTAAACCCGTTCATTGCTAAACGATTTCATCACTATCCGATTTCATCCCATAACTGAATTCGTGTAACTAACTGCAGATAAACACAATCCAATACAGGATAAACATCTCATTTTAAATATAAA